TAATGATGGTTGACCGATAAGACCTGCAATCCTATCAGACATGTTTTAAACTAGGTAGAATTTTTTAAAAAAAGTGTTATAAAAATAAAGTAAATATTTTTCTTTTCATAATTACTACATGTCGGTTGATAAATAAAATCTCCAATCCTACAAAATAATTTTTACGCCAGAATAATGAAACTAGTTTCAAAATGAAGTAAATTTATTTATCTTGAAAATTACGAATGTAAATTGATAAAGATAAGATCACTACTTCTCCACATTTTAGACCAGATAGAATGATGAAACTGGTATCAAAATGAAAGAAATTTATTTCTCTTCAAAATTATGAGGGATAATTGATAAGTAAGGCCTCCAATCCTATTAAAGAAGTTTTAGACCAGATAGAATAATGAAACTGGCATCAAAATGTAGGAAATCTATGTCTCTTCAAATTACAAGTTTATTGGTTTTCATAGTCTCTATTTCTTGTTACTCATTTTCAGGAATGGCTATCCACTTTTTTTTATTTCGTCTATGAAGAGAGTTTGTCATTTACATTTTATTCTCTTTTCTTCCCACAGCATCTTCAAGTTTATCATTAGAGATAAAACCTTGAACTTTTAAAACCTCTTGCAACTTCTAGGACAACCACAAATTTGATGGTGCCAAAGCAAGGTTATCCGTAAAGTATACAGCAAATATTAACTGCTGTGTTTCTAACCGCTTTCAGAGTTTGTTCAGTGCAATGCAGCCTTGTATTGTCGGCCTTCAAGCAAGAAAATGTCTCCTTTTTAAGCCTAATTCTGTGAATACGTTATTTAAGTGTTTGCAAGTTTTCATTGCCTACATGCATATGTGAATTCCGACTGGTCCGCCATCTTCTAGCGCTGATCACTGATTTATACGTACACATGACTCAAGAATTCTAATCCTCAATGCCAACGCACAGCGAACAGATATCAAACACATTTGAATCTGACAAAGTACATGACTTCCTCTGTAATACGTTATCTTTACAAGAATCAGATCAGATCAAAATTAGAGTATTACAGTATATCTGGGTTGGGTCTGGTCAATCCTAACTTTCTACACTATTTACATTATTCGGACTATTGTCCTCATCTTTGTCACCATATTTATTGCAACGTTTCGACTGTTGTACGCTCCGGCCTTCTTCAGGTGGTTAGAATGTCGAACTGAACCCTTTATTTCGCTCACTGGGGTAGACTGTTCTAGTTCAACGTGCCATGTCTAATGAATGTCGGTTATCAGTTATCCCATGTTAATTCACCTCTCCAAGTTCTCCACTGCCTTAACCAGGTATTGAACTCACACTGTTTGGACATGGCACAGAGTTTAAAAGCGTTAGTTAAATCCAGTGACAGGACCCAAAGAGTGTGAGTTCAATACCCGGTTGAAGCAGTGGAGAACTTTCAGAGAGAAATTAACAGGAGATAACTGATAACTGACATCCATTAAACATGACACGTGGAACTAGAACAGTCTACCCCAGTGAGCGAAATAAAGGGTTCAGTTCAACATTCTAACCACCTGAAGAAGGCCGGAGCGTACAACAGCCACAACGTTGTAATAAATATGGCAAAAAAGATATGGCGAATAATGTAAATAGTGTGCATAATACCTCATCTCAGAAATATAGACAGATACTGAAAGGCCGAAACGTTGTAATACATATGGCGACAAAGATGAGGACAATAGTCCGAATAATGTAAATAGTGTACATAATACCTCATCTCAGAAATATAGACAGATACCTAACTTTTGAGCCTCGACAGATTTCAAAACCTTTTACGCGGCCTTGTGGATGATGATTTATTCTCCACCACACAACCTTTTCCCAACAGATACAACATCGTGACCCTGGCTCTACACACATGTCAAATCTTTGGACGTGATGCATTCTTTAGTGTCACCAGCTCAGACCTTTACGCCCAAGACCTGCATTGATACCTCCACAGGGTTGAATCAGCCACATTTCCCACATATTCCATTCGTAAGAAAGATGTTTCACCCAGAATGCTTCTTCCCAAAGGCCGCTACTTTGTGGAACAGACACCCACTTGGATGCTTCCCGGAACACTTGCATTGTTCAAGTCTAGTATCAATATTTATCTATCCACCATATCCTCATAATGTCCCACTTCTTTCTCTTATTCGCCCTGGGTATAAGGATAAACTACATCTGGCAACAAGGTCTCTGATCGGGAGGTTTTGACAAGCGTGGAACAACCTTTTAATTGCTGTTGTTCCCAGGTCCACCCTGACCCAGGGTAGTAGCACCTGTCAGAATCTCAGGTATGGGCAAATAGTTAACCCCCCCACCAAATTGAAGTCAAATAATGAAAACATAAAAAATATACCAGTATCTGTCTATATTTCTGAGATGAGGTATTATGTACACTATTTACATTATTCGAACTATTGTCCTCATCTCTGTCGCCATATTTATTACAACCTTTCGGCCATTGTATGCTCCGGGCTTCTTCGGGTGGTTGGAATGTCGAACTGAACCCTTTATTTCACTAACTGGGGTAGACTGTTCTAGTTCCACGTGCCATGTCTAACTCCTGTTAATTCCCCTCTCCACCGCCTTAACCAGGTATTAAACTCACGTTCTTTGGGACCTGTCACTGGATCTACCTAACGCATTTATCCACTGTGCCTTGTGTCCTTGAGGACATCTGTGTATGAATTTCTGGGTATCATAAACCTAATATCTCTCATTTTTTACCAGTGCTCATATTGCAATTTTTGCTGTCATCATTCATTCGGCTCAGGAGATTTGTGTGGCCTAGCATATGTGCTGATTCGTTAAGTTTACGAATTTTCCAATGATATTCTTTGTCTATAATCTCAACCTGATCCCACAGAGGGCGGTAACCTCCCTTTTTTCTCCATATGTGGTCAACCACGCCTGAAAATTACCAGCAATACATTACTGGAAAAAATTACCAGCAATACGTTTTTGGGAAAAAATTACCCAGAGAATAAATTTTCGGCATCAAAATTTCCCAGTTGGTATGCCATTAAACAAACCAACCACAAAATTTCTTGTTTAGAAATCATTCTTGGGTGGCTCTTGTGCCTTGTATTAAGTGAAATTTAATTAAAAAAAATATTTTTCTAGATCCTGAATTTGTAGCATCTCGTAAATGTTAACAAATAACGGGTTGAAAAGTAAATCACTTGTGATTGGTTAATCGAAATCTTGCTAACAGACGCCACGGAAAATCCATCATCTATATAATAAATTCCAATGTCACTGTGTCACATTTTTTCCACTTTAATCCCAGAGGCTGTGGTCTAACATATCCTACCATTTTGGAATCAGGCTGACACCGTGAGCAAATTAAAAACATTCCAAGCCAGATCAGGACCCACAATTTTGGATTTCCAAGTTTTCCGTAATGCCATTGTTTCCGGCGATTTTTTGAGATGATTTTTTTTTTTTTGTACGATAACAATTTTTATAACTTAGAAAGAAATTTGTCAATAATCAAAATTAATTGCGAAATCCAGCGAAAGTCACCTACGAAATAAAAATAATTGTTTTATAAGGAAAGTAAGGACCTACGTACATCAAATTGTCTTTAAATTAAGTGGCGGCAGAAGAATTATTGTTGAACTTTTAAAAGGTCAGCTTAAACATTAATTCAATACTTAAATGCAGCGATCAATTTTGAGTTCTTCTGTAGTTTATTGATGCCTATCGCATCTACTCCCTCCCCAACCTGTTGTTATGAAACGCCAATCAAGAACCCCCGCAGCTTTAGTCAGTGAAACCTCCGACTACCTTTCTCTCTATATTTGATTGCAACTGTCTCCCTGACTCTCGTGGCTTACGCCCATATCACGTTGAAACACCGGTTCTCGTACGATCACCGAAGGTAAGTAACGCCGAGCCTGGTCAGTACCTGTAAGCTTGGATGTGCGGATGGTGTAATGAATAACGACTTGGAATTGGAGATCGGGGACCCGAGTTCTAGTTCCATCGTTACATTAATTTAGGCAAATATCCCTTGGAAAAGGTATTAATCCACCTCTTCTCTCCTCCAACTATGGGTTAATTAGTAGAACTTGTATCAGTAAATTATTATTATCTCCAAAATCTTTTTTTTTTTCAATCTAAAAATATTGTCTGACTTTAAATAATTTGCAAGAGATTGATAAGCCGTAAAAACAATCATTTAAAACCGTGACTCCTATCTCTATA